GTCATGTCTGTTTGCTTTGCACAAGAGTCAAGCCTCAAGATTTGGGCCCATATTTCCAAATTTATTTTGAACAAGAAAAGATTGGACTAGAGACCTTAGGAGGCACCAAGGCAACATGCCACACTGGAGGATTTTTTTTGTTTTGCAGCTACTGAGACTGCTGCTCGAGAGTTAATGCACTATGTGGTTGAAAAAACACAGTCCAACTTTTTAAGTATTTGTCTTATTTTAATACAGTCTAGTTCAAATTGCATTTATGTATCATAAACAAAATGCAACAACTTTGTTAAGGATTAATAAGCTTTATTAAGCATATATTTGTCTGCTCTGTGTTGACTAGAAGCTATGAAAAATGTGATGTTACAATTGCCGCACGTTTAAATGATTGTCTGCATATGTATCCATGACAATATCTATTCATCTTCTGTTCTTTATATATGTTTTTATTACAAATATCTTTATTCTAGTGGAACATTTTAATATTAAAGTTGACACAGTGAAGTGCAAATTGGAATAGGTCAAAGGAAAATCAGGTATCTCTATCTTGAATTTATTCCAAGTAGTTTGGTATTGATAAGAGATCTGATTGTTGTCGATATGTCAAGACACATGGCAGCCTTCAGTAATTTGTACTTTCTCATCCAAGCAAGGGTTCCACACTCAGCCTTCCAAGCCTGTAGCAAATACTTTACCAGGCAGAAGTGATGTACGGGAATTAGATTGTTGTAGGCAGTTCATAAGGTTTAGTACATACATGCAGTTTCAAGAATAGTTATTTTCCAAAATCATTTATCTCAGGCATAGGAAACATATGCATGATTATATAATTACCAGAATACTTGTTTGTCAGTGTTTGGTTAGTATGCATAATAATATCATTATTAGGCCTTCTGTGCTCCTGTATTATGATTGTTATATCTCCCTGCTCCTTTAATTCACTGTCTCTGCTTTTGAGATTAATCACATTGTTTTAACCTGAACATTTTAAGGAGTTGTTTGGTTTTTTTTACCATGATTTGTGAACAGCAAAGCACAACTTATTTTAAAACATATTTTCATATTTTTTGTTCGGTTTGGTTTTTTTTAGGGGGGTTGATATTGTCCTGTCTGGCAGTCGTTTTTGTCAAGTGGGGTTTTAGTCCCAAATCTTCTTCCAAATAATATTTTTAAATACCTGCACTATTATAATCAGCTCTGCATCTCTCAAATTATCTGCACTGTTCTTTTCCTCCATCATAGTGCAAGCAGCATGCTGCCAGCTGAAACTCATCCTTCATGATTTTCTTCTTTAGTGGTCAGTCTTGCTTAATGCTAAAGTTTACTGTATCAGGCTTTCCTGAAAAGGATGAAAAATTATACCATATTGGTATTTTCCATTGTTTCAGCGAAGTTTGAATTCAAACTAGTTAACACCATTTTTCAGACATGGTAGGAATTAGTAATTCTTTTTTCTGTCTTTTTTATAAGGGACTGAGTAATACTGACCTATCTTGTTGGAAATAAGACTGGTTTCTAAATTAACAATCCATTAGACAGTTACCCCTTGATCATATGTTATGGAAGGTGTAATTGACACCTTTTTCCCTTGTTTTGTGAAACATTTCTTGTTTGGTTCTTTTTTTTTACCTTTTCAGCACGCAGCAACAACCTTTGTAACCTTTCTCAGGACATGCAACATACGTACATTTCATGTCTCCTGTGTTTGCCCCCTCCACTTGCTCTGCTTTGTATAACAGCAGTATGTAAGGGAGTATTCCTTTTCAAGCGTGGCATTTCTTTGCTTTTCAGATTATAATCTATTTTGTGTATTACTGAGTATGATAAATATTTCATGTATTTCACACTATTACTTTATTTTTCCTGCATGCCCTGCATACTGTTTGTGCTTATTTTGGTAAATGTCAGCTTGTTTCTTTACCTCATCTCGATGCATTCCTCTTGTTTTTATAGTAAGTAATGTATGAGTAGTGATAATTCTGCTCTTCACAGACTTAACCGATTCACCCTTTCTTTGCTCAGAGGCCATGCTATTCTGTGTATTCCAGAATTGCTATTAGGCTCCCCACTTCTCTATGGGTGTTGCTGCTTCAAGTTTGCACGGTGCAGTTTCTTGTTTGTTTGTTGGGGTTTTCTTAAGTTACTACCCTAAACATTCTGGCTACCTATGTGCCTGTGCAGTAGTTCATGTTTCCTTTGGCTGATGATGCAACTTTCCTTCCACAGTGTGTTCTAACACTGTGCATTTTATCAATAAAGCAGCTTATTTTTTCCTCTTATCTCAGAGCTTGTACAAACTTGTTGCTTTCAAGTTTGTCTCGTTGGGTTACTTTTTTTCCCAAGTGCACGATGGGAAAAAAAGTTACGCCTGTCTCACGGTTAATTTATTTTGTCAATACGTTATCACCTTTTTCGCTTTCACCTTTTACCGGTGGCTGCGGGTCTCGCTCTGCACACCAGGCTCCAGGGAAGGTTTGGGCTGCGGGGTTTCCTCGTCAGGAGCACGGAACGACTCATTGCTGTTACCTGGCGTCAGTCGTTGCACGATCGGGTCACGGTGCCACCGTCTCCCCCTCGCCGTGTGCGTGATGCCCCACGCGGAACGGGGACGTCTCGCCGAGCCTTGGCCGCCTGTTAAAAACGCGCCCGACGCTTTTCTTTCACCTCTGCGGATATCAAAGCGAGGAGGAAGAGGGGGAAACTTCTTTCTCTC